GACAGAAACAACAGACTATATCTTGACTGACAGAAACAACAGACTATGTCTTGACTGACAGAAACAACAGACTATATCTTGACTGACAGAAACAACAGACTATATCTTGACTGACAGAAACAACAGACTATATCGTGACTGACAGAAACAACAGACTATATCGTGACTGACAGAAACAACAGAGAGAAAGCCACATAATTCCAGCTGGGAATAATACTACTGATTACTAAAACTATTTTTACTATTAAAAGCTACAACTGCTACATGTATTATAACTTCTACTATTACAAACTACAACTACTAACTATTGTAACTTCTACCACTACCACTAATGACTATGACTACATGCCGACCTGACGCCGACCCCCCTTGACAATATACATTTCCAAACTTCCTCTAAGAGACTTACCTTTTCTCTTTGCCTTTTGCCTTTCCCACCCTTGAGCTCTTCCACGTGATTGTTGAATGCAATACGTTCATACCCGACTGAAAAACGTTATAAAAAGCATTTGTGTTTCACAAAGGAAAAAACTTCATCAATACATGTACTGCCATAAACTTTTCCTACCCCAGATACTCAGAAATGATAAGGACGTTTGTAAATGCCAGGCTCAACCACTTCTGTCTTTAAGCAATCCTGTAGTAGTGTACTGCATAAATATAGCTGGCATCCAACGAGCCGTTTTTAATATAGGGCACAAAGAGAATAACATTTTTATCACTGTACTTGATCAAGATTAATTTTTTTGTAAAAATATTTTTGTTTGGTTGCTGGCCTGCAGATGTGCCATGCAAAGTTTCTTATATGTATGTGTTGATCGAAATCTACAGGGCAGCAAAAAAATTAGTGGCGCAATTTCTCCTCAAATATCTCTTTAATGGGTGAATCAATGTCATCCTTACTTTGTGGTTGTGTCAATTTGTCAGAACTAAATCATAGTTTTCCACAATAATTGGGGCTAGATTAACAAAATCTTTTCTTCATAAATTTTTATAAAATATTTGAAATCTCTGCCACACATAAAATGGGATTGTCCACTGCACTTCCCACCTCTCCTCTCACACACATTTTGATTACATATAGTGGAACTCGGTTTCTACTAATCCAATTTCTATTAACTGACTCGGATTCAACAAAACGAGTTGGATTCCCCGACTTTTTTATTCACAAAAATCAATAAAAATAACTCTGATTCAACAAGCACATAAATGAGCAAGCTGGAATTCAACCAATTCGCTTGCAGGCTGAACTGCTCTCTATGCGACCAATCAGCGGCCTCCTTTCACACCAAAACAGGCGTTGTAATCTCGCATCCATGTCTTAGCGTGTCGGGGTCGCACCAGGCAGCCAGCACGTGTGTGACTGTGTGCGTGTGTCTGAGGGGATATTGGGGAAGGGGTACAAATAGTCCAGGCGAGGAAAGCCAGCAGAGAAACCAATGCGACACAGTTATTTTTTTCTTCGGCAACTGATCAATATTACAAGGATAAGTTAATCTGGACATAGATCTACGTAATGAACTGCGCCATGGACTGTGGAATCAAACGTTGTCGTATGCTAGCCTCTACACAGCAACATAACCTGTTAGGCAAACAATGTTGTTCGTCCTTCGCTTATGAAGATGACCATGACTTCACAAAAGGGTCTGTTAACGGTGATTGTGGGTCCGTAGACGGCTGATTAGGCTTATCCAGGCTCAGAACGGGTAGTCTGCTGTTGGACTTGTGGTGAAGCCAGGTCTAGACTTACACACGTCGCGATTTTGTTTGGCTTCAGCTGCTTTGGCTCCCTTCGTTAGCTTGCAGCGCCACGTGGGACGATCTTGGGCCAACGTTTCCCACGAGTCATTCAGGATTCCAAGTTCTTTTAGAGAGACTTTGAGGCAGTCCATGAAACGTTTTTTTCTGCCCTCCAACTGAGCGCTTGCCACGGAGCAGCTCTCCATACATCCGCTGTTAGGCCAACCGGCTGTCCGCCATTCTGATCACGGGACCGGCCCATCTGGCTCGCGTTTTGTGGAGGATGGTGTAGATGCTGGGGGTTCCGGCTCGCTCTAAAACAGCAGTGTCTGGGGCTTTGTCCTGCCATCTGAAGCGGAGGATTTTACGAAGACAGCTCAGGTGGAACCGATTGAGCTGCTTGGCGTGTCTGCTGTAGACAGTCCAGGCCTCTCTGGCGTAGAGAAGAATGGTAAGAACCACTGCCCGGTAGACCTTCAGCTTTGTGGAGAGCATGAGTCTTCTGGGCTCCCAGACATTCTTGCGAAGCCTCCCAAAGGCGGCCCTACTGTTAATTTACTGTATATATATATACGTACAGCACGTGACAGTGTGCAGCCTAGGTAGGTTAAGTGGTCAGCTGCCAGGAGTTTCTGTCCCTTCACCATGATTGGTGGCACTGTGTATGGTTGTCCAGGGGCTGGATTGATATTGGTATTGATGGTGAGGCCGAAGTTGTCACAGGCTAAGACGAAACAGTTCATTTCGTTTTGCATACACTCTTCTGTGTTAGCGTTGAGTGCACAGTCATTGCAAAGAGAAGTTCCCTGACGACTGTTTCTTTCTCCTTGGTAACGGCCTGGAAGCGCCTGATGTTGAACAGCCTGCTGTCGGTTCTGTACCTGATACAGATGTCATCTTCACTGCTGTGAAAGGCATCTGTTAGCATGGCGGAGGATACCATGCTGAAAAGAGTTGGGGCAAGGACACACCCTTGTTTAACGTGGTTGGTCACAGGGAAGGTGTCTGACTCGTCTCCGTCCCTTAACACCTTCACCATCATACCATCGTGAAGCTGTCTGACGATGGTGATGAACTTACTTGGACATCCATACTTCTCCATGGTCCGCCACAGTCCGTCTCTGCTGACAGTGTCGAAGGCCTTCGTTAGATCCATAAAGGTCACGAGTAAGTCTCAGTGTTGCTCCTGGCATTTTTCCTGGAGTTGGCGGGCGGCGAAGATCATGCCTGCAGTTCCTTGTTGTAAAAGGAAGTCACGACTTGTGCTCGACTTGGATTACAGAGAGGGAGAGTTGTGCAGGTCGTCAGCCTCACTCTCTCGTCCCGGCCCATCTGTAGCCAGTGGCAGGACATGGTTGAGACGACTGGAGAGAGGCCAGGATGCAGTGGATGGTCAGCAGTGTCTTGTGTGCCTCACTGTGCCCTATGCTGCGCTCCACAGCGCTTTGCTGGGTCCGCCTTTCCACCCGTTGAACCCCGGGGGTTTCCTCCGTGCAGTCCGCCAGAGATAGTCTTTGTTTACTAGGGGTAGACATTCCCTGCCCAGAAAAATTGGTCTCAAAGGGGGGAGAAAGGCAGGTGTTCAGGAAGATTGACGCAGCTTTCAGGCAGAGGCAGAAACAGGATTACGATCGAAGACATTGCGCCAAGCCCATGTCAGACTTGTCAAAAGGACAGCCAGTTTGGGTTAAAACCCCAAGGGATGCCAAGGCTACGGTTGTGGAAAGATCGAGAGACAGATCATACCTCTTGAAAACGGACAACGGCTTGAAGGTTCGTAATCGTCACCAGATCCGACTGAGGACGGTAGGCGACGACAGTAACCATCTTGTGATCCCCAGAGAGTCTTCTATGTTGCCTCACCATCAGCCAGGATTACCAGCGGAGTCACTAGAGTCAGACACAACCCTTTATGATACTTCCACTATGTCTGACTACATAACGAAGTCGGGACGCCATGTCAGGCCTCCGCAGAGACTCGACTTGTAGACAAAGTTTCTGCTGTGTACAGTGTATATAATGTTTCAGAGTTGTAGTTTCAGTTTCTGGTTGATGCGTTTAGCATTTTAAATTGTTCTTGAAATTGCTTGTGAGGGGGATGTGATGTCAAGGGACATGACTCTTATCTTTACTGTGGGAACTAGATAATTAGGGGAGTAGCACGCCCTTGGATGACGTCAAGAGCTGGGCGCGAAAAATAGAGAGATCGTCTGAGAGACTCACGGAGGTAGTCAGTCGAACTCAGGACCACGACAAGACAACACCTATCTTGGACGGGGGCCCCCTGACAGACCCCACGCATCGGACCGCCAGGTAACTTTACAATTTATGAAATTTTTTTGGATAATATTGATAACAATCGAGATGTGAGTTTTAATATCCAGTTACTAGATCTATCGAAACTGGCCCTCCCTGCATCTTTAGTATGAACAGAACAACCAAATTGAGTTGACCTTGCCGGGGGCAAAGTTAATTATGTCAACCAATGAGATTGTGCATAGCGATCACGCACTCTCGGCTTGCTGGGGGAAGAGATGTTGGGAAGAGGCCACTGTTGTCGATTTCACGCTATTCGATTTTTAAAAATAAATAATTACAGAAAAACTTATAACACACAACAAAATGAAACAAACAGTAACAGATGGAAAGACAAATGGTTGTGGAAGACATGCGAATAAACGTAGAACAACGCATCTCCCTGATTGGCTGCTAATTTTAGAAATGTGATGTCATCACTTCCTGGGATACCCACAGACTATTTTAAGAAGGCCATGGAGGTACCGCATGCAGGGTTGGGTTGATTTAAATCAGTCGATTTTTTAAATTTAAATCAACTTGATTTTAAAAATAAAAATCAGTGGTTTAAATCCCTTTTTTAAAAATGTATTTTTATTCAGTTTTTACATATTTCAACATTCAGAATTCCTTTCCTTGGTTTCATAAAACAGATATAAGGTTTAGTAGACTAATATAATCATGCTTAAAAGTCTGCTTTCCCCCCTTTCACTGTAAAATAATACAGTATTCTATTTACTTTTTTTTTCCATAATTGAAATCAGAGCTGGGTTGATTTAAATCAGTTGATTTTTAAAATTTTAATCAACTTGATTTTTAAAATAAAAATCAGTGATTTAAATCACTTTTTAAAAAATGTATTCAGTTTTTACATAGTTAAACATTCAGAATTCCTGTCCTTGGTTTTATAAGACAGATATATAAGGTTTAGTAGACTACTAATATAATGATGCTTAAAAGTCTGCTTTCCCCCCTGTCATTGTAAAATAATAATACAGTATTCAATTTATTTATTTTTTCATAACTGAAATTAGCATTTTCTTTTTAGACAAACACAAGCGCGCGCACGCACACACACTGTAATAAACTGCAAGTTTATCTAGATCTATGCATAATTACCCCCCCCCCCCCCCTTTCCTTTTAGACAGACATTTTCTTCATTTTTTGTCTGTAGCCATAATTAATTCACTGATATAGCAGATTGTTTTCTTTTGCAGTTGCTTAAATTAATCATTAGTTAAAATAAAGACAATGCATTTTGCACTAAAAGAACATGCTTTTTTAGCCACCAAAAATCCCAAACTGTGTCGATGTTTTTTAAAAAAATCGATTTAAAAAAAAAAATCTGATTAAAATTTTAAAAATCTGATTTAAATTTTAAAAATCGATTTTTTCAATTTTTATAGTTTAAAAATATTAAAAGTCACCAACCCTGACCGCATCGAATGACATGTTTCTGGTATGGTAATAACATTTCGGAATTCCTAGTACTTGGACAAGATGGAAGGTCGCTTAGATTCGTTGATGCTCAGAACAGTAAGAAAGCTGATGCTTGAAATTGAAACACGGTAAACGCAAAGACAATACACCGCACGAAAACTGTCGTAAAGACGCTGGAGGATTAACCCCCCCACCCCCTATTGCATGCTATCACTACATACATAAAAAAAACTACAAAACAACAAATATGATTTATGGGACAAACAAACTGTTGGTCAGTCGGGAGGAGGAGAAGAGAAAAAAAACAAAAAACCTTTCTTGACCGGGATTCGATACCACATTCATAAGATAATTGTATGACTTCAAACGTAGACACGCTGTCCATTTGGCCATTAGAACTTCCAACAGCGAGAAGTAGACTTTAAAGCTTGATATACATAGACACTTCCATCTTTGGCGCCATGCGGTTGGCTATATTTAGATGTAGTCACGTGATCGGAGGGGTATCCCAGTCTCACGTCAAACAAGATGGCCGCCTTACCTAAAAATAGTTTGCGTCGCTCTACATTTCATTGCATGCTTGTGGAAGTAATGATGATGCTGTAAATAGTGCTGGTGGAAAGACCCCGAGTTGTCGGTTACAGTTACTGACTACTGTATGTAGACACTGCCATTGGACAAAGAGAGTGCAGTCTTTTGACTTTGACTTTTGACATAGATCTAATTTAATTACACAGTCCTAGATCTAGATATTGGTCTTGATATAGAGTCTAGATCTAGATCTATATCTAGATTCTAGATCTAGATCTAGATTCTAGACGTCTAGAATGTAGATCTAGATCTAGAGTCATTATAGATCTAGATCTATACACATTTGAAGCGCGGCGAGCTAAGATATCAAACCTAACAACTGGAAAACAACAAATTATGGTAAAATCAGGGGGGCATGCCCCCCCCCCCCCCCTACTCTTGGGCCAAAACCGGCGAATAACAATAACAATAGGCCATTCCATTGGTCCATAACAATAATAAATAATTGCGAGGAGGAAACTACCGATTCTAGATCTAGATTGGGTGGATTGGTTTGAAATTTCTTCCTAAAACCACTTCCAAGCTAGAAAAAACATTTGCTAACGTAACCATACGTGATAAGGCCGTCTCCACAAGTTCAAGAAGGTTGTCGGGCATTGCTTTCCAATCTAGTTTCAGATCTGCGTACATGGGCGGCGCCATATTTGTTAGATGATTGACGGACGATCGTTCGTAACTCTTCGTCCTTGGCTTTTTTCTGATTCGGGATTTAAATAATTATTTTTATTTTTATAATCCACCAACCACGAAAACCAAAATTACAAAAAAAAAGATTCCCAAAGTTTTGTTCCCCTTTTATAAACTTAAGAGATTTGAACCACCAAAAATAGTGCTAATCAAGGTGTTGTGCTATAGGGATTTTAATCATGGCAATTATGGTGAGGCATCAGTTGTGTAACAATCATACAAACATGTAAGCCTATTTGTAAACAATGCTGGACAGTCCTGTAAGACAGTGAAAATATAAAAGAAGTAACATCATGTTGCTTCATAGGATACTTCTGGGAATTTCTTGGATGGAAAAGAAATCATAATATGAGCTAATTTGAAGAGGCCCACGCGGGTCGCTCAATAATATTTTATGCTTGCAGTAAAATTTCTGGGACACTGGGAATAGACAGGTCAGCTTCCACCATAGATGTACACTAGATCTTCTAGGCCCTATAGGTTTAAAAAGGAGATACACGTGTAACTCTATGGCTTCCACCATTGATGTAACTCTACAATATGCACTAGGTTCAAAAAGGAGATAACTCTATGGCTTCCACTGACAAAATTGAATGCAAACGAGACAGAGCAATCTCCTTGGAGAGCCAAGTGGATGACGGAGAAAGGTGGATTCATTTTATCGCTCTAAATTTGTTCTAAGACCCCCGATCATGCATCCTACTCTACTTCGAGAAAAAAAGGGGTGCAACATACTAGCTGTGGAGCAAAGATTTTAGGCCTACAGCCGGCATAGATAGGTCTTTTCCTTTTGGAGAGCCAGATCGGAAATAAAAAAAGAAATGAGATGTTCTCAAGTAACTGGGTGTTTTCCACCACCCTCCTACCCTAGTTCTCTCATCTAGTACATGCATTTGATTTCTCATCATTACACAACTACTAATTTGAATAGCCTAATTTGAATAGTCGAATGCAGCTAGAATCTAGGCCTTTTCAGTTCTTGGGATAGGCTAGAATCTAGGCCATCTCAGTTCTTGGGATAGGCTAGAATCTAGGCCTTCTCAGTTCTTGGGATAGGCTTGAATCTAGGCCTTCTCAGTTCTGAGAAGGCCTAGGCTCAAGGAGTTTAGAACTTTTAATCTCCTTGCCTAGGCTACAATCATCGCATGCGCAGCGAATTTGCTGACAAGTGACAAGTAATAAAACGAAATCTGTGGGTGACGAGCGCAACTTCCTCAGAAAAATCTATTTATAGAGCTGTTCCACTGGGAGTGGATATTTTGTGTTTTTTAATTCTGTAACTTATTTTTATGATTTGATTACCACATAATTCATACAGATTTATTATAATTCAAGTATTTTGTATCTGGTCTATTAATAAATAACTTTTAAACTGACATCGCACCTTCCCGTTAGTTCTGTAAATTTCATGACGTCACACATTTTCTGTCTCTGAGAAAAAAGGAAGAACATCAAGGGTGGAAACCGATTTTCTAGACGCTGTTTGGGCCTGCCCTTCCACCCATATTGTCTCTATGTAAATAATGTCCGATTTATCAGACTCTGGAGTTCAAGAGACCAATATGGAAACCTGTAGTTTACCAGATGATACTGACAGAAAGGTGAGTCTTCGCTCTAGAAAATGATCAAAACAAGTACGATGTTCGTCGTCCACAACGGAAAGGAAGGGCCCCTACTCCCTACCTTCGCCTTCTTAGTCTTAGTTCCCTGAATAATGACAAGATCGCTGTAACCCTATTCGATGATAAATATTTTTCTTCCTGTCAGAAATACGCATACTCCAATAATACTAGATCTAGATCTATTGTTTTGAACAAGTATATTTTTGATTAAATTTTAAAAGCAAGTTTCTACCATTGTGTGTCGTCTGTTCGAAGAAGACAAGAGCAGGGTCTCTAAATCAAGTTTTAGTTTTAGTTTGTGGGGTTAATTATCTGCTGGACACACCATATTCATCAATTACTTTTCCTAATTTTCCCATATTATTATGAGGCCCGCTACTTGTTTGTCTTGATCAACTAAAATGTCAGGTGGAGAGAAAAAATCTAGATCTAGATCTAGATCTAGATAAGGTGGACTAGAATCTAGGCCTAATCTATGTTTGAGTTTGAGTGATATTATTATTTTACTTCCTTGGCCTACTCTCATGTCTCATGCCTATGCTCAGGGCTCAGGTATTTTTCTTTGTTTATTTTTAGCCCGTAGCTGTGCGTACGGCCCACCCGTACGCATAGCCTAATAGCTATGCGTACTGCCCTCCCTACGTACGGCTCTTAGATTTAGATAAAAGTAGCAATGCCAATCGCCCGCTGCGCCTTGTGCCGGAAATCGGCCTCCGCGTGAGGGGTATTTTTTGGGCCGCTCGGAATCAGAAGTGACTCTCTTCTAAGTTTAGTTACGGGAAAACTCCTGGACGAAAATAAATGAAACTCGGCAACCAACCAGAGGAAAGGTTAAACTAACGACATGCCAGCGTACAATCCCGAACGATTACTAGAACCGGAGATATTGCCGTGTTTGTGAGAATTTCCTCTGCGGTTCGAAAACTAAGCGGAGCTGCGGGTTGATCGCCGACCACACAAGCGCCCCACATGTCTTCTTTATTGCTGTAAAATTTCAGATCTCTGCGTTTAGTAGATTTTCCGTACCAACTTAAAATTACCACCCACCCATTGATAAAACACTAGATCTAGAAACTTAATCGCGCATTCCAAACGCGAGGTGCCGGCATGCAAGAGGCGCGTGATCGCTAGGCGGCATGTGATTGGCTGCCTATAACCAAATGGGTCACCGATGACTACATCGCGGGTTTTCCCGATAGCGCTTTACTGAGTTTTAGAAGGGGTGATCGCGTCGCGGTAAAAACGATGTCACGCAATTCAACAAATTTCACGCAAATATCAGTCTTTAAGATCCAAAGTAATGAAGACAACGAAAAAGTGATAGCAGCACTAGATTTGGCACTAAAAATCACATGGAGATGCCAAGTTTCATTCATATGCTCCAATTCATTACTGACTTATGAACAGTTTTTCCTCAAAATACATCAAAACATGTCCCACATTTTGGCGATTTTTTCCTATATGAAGGTCCTCCAACATTTTGCAAACAAAAATCCCAATAACTTTTTTATTTATCAATGGATTTTTAAAATTTAAAAACCACAGTTCTTAGAATTTACTCTAGTTTCATTTAAGCCCATTTTTAAGCAATTCGGATGAAAATTTAATTTTTCATTGTCATTGCTAATAAAAGTATGCTCACAGCCTTGATAAGCGCTCCGCTGAACCAAGATCGTGTATATAACAAGATAGTTCACTCCTCTATAATTGAGCCAATTAAAAAAGTGTCCTCAATACTTGTGGCACCCTCTTTGAAAAAGTGCAGACTTTGCGATCAGAGTTACCCTACTTGTGTGAAAATACATATAACAGAAGTGAAACTAATAAACTGTGCTATATTATATTCTTCTGGTGAATTGAAAGAGAGCTTCAAAACAAAGACTGCAGAGTCATCTTAACCGATGTGCGGACTTCCGCTGACACTTTTTTAGCTGAGTGAACTATTTTGTCAGTACGATCTCTGGCCAAGAGACGGTCTGTGAGGTCAAGATAGCTTGCAAAATCATTGGTCACTAATAACTTTGACCTGTAATTTACATGTCATTTTCCATATAAGGCATGCTGAAATTTTCCATTGAAAAAAGGTCAGCGTCTGTGCCCTTTATTAGCAATGCCAATCGCCCGCGGCGCCTTGGGCTGGAAATCGGCCTCCGCGCGAGGGGTAATTTTTGGGCCGCTCGGAATCAGAAGTGACTCTCTTCTAAGTATAGTTACGGGAAAACTCGTTTACGAAAATAAATGAAACTCGGCAGCCAATGAGAGGAAAGGTTAAAAACTAACGACATGCCAGCGTACAATCCCGAACGATTACTAGAACCGTGTGATCGCTAGGCGGCATGTGATGGGCTGCATATAACTAAATAGGTCACCGATGACTACATCGCGGGTTTTCCCGATAGTGCTTTACTGAGTTTTAGAAGGAGTGATCGCGTCGCGATAAAAACGATGTCACGCAATTCAACAAATTTCACGCAAATATCAGTCTTTAAGATCCAAAGTAATAAAGACATCGAAAAAGTGATAGCAGAACTAGATTCTGCACTAAAAATCACATGAAGATGCCAAGTTTCATTCATATGCTCCAATTCATTGCTGACTTATAAACGGTTTTTCCTCAAAATGCATCAAAACATGTCCCACATTTTGGCGATATTTTCCTATATGAAGGTCCTCCAATATTTTGCAAATAAAAATCCCAATAACTTTTTTATTTATCAATGGATTTTAAAAATTAAAAACCATGACATAAAAAATGTTTGCTCTTAGGCAAACGTAATTTGTAGTACGTCAGTCTTGTACGGCTGCATGACGACACCCCAAACGTCATCACTAAGCACAAAAGCTAAATCTATAACCACAAAAATGATTCATTTCTCAAAGTTTGTTCACACATCACACTCTTGATCCAGGAATCCAATGTAAACACCGCAATTTCACTAAAATATTCAATAGGGTAGCCTAAAAACAGGGTAGCCTAAAAACCGTTGCTTCCGCTGTTCTGGGGAAGCGGTTAAGGGGAAGTCACTCGAGAAAACAATTATATCCGGGCACTGTTGATGATCCGTTCAAAACAAAAGTAGGCTAAAATTCGGACTTCCTGTACGTCGCAAAGTGACGCCAATCACGGCGAATGTTAAACAGCCGACCGAAGTCGTAGATCTAGGAACCCGATGTTCCTTTCGCGCATCGCGGCTTTTGAAGTATTGAATAAACGACGAAAAGCAAAAACATTTAACCAGCTGTGGTGATTCTACAAAAAAATAATGGTGTTTTCTGAAACACCTAGTCCGTGACGACACGGCTGACGCACAAGTGATCCGAATTGTTCGTTTATTTGCAAACTAATAAACCGATTTCTTGAGCAAGTGAACCTTTCTCGATCTCAAATAGCATAGGATCAAAGCACAGGTTAAAAAAAAAAACCACCCAAAAATACTAAATTTTGGACATTCTTGGAAGTTTGCATTGGTGTGCTCAAAATGACAGTCCAGGAATCACAAAAAAACGAACATTTTTGGCACAAAATGTACAAACTTAAATTGTAAAGCTGACACTGGGTCTAAAACTGCTAATGCAGGTTGTACATCCTATATTTAACATGTGTATAAGTTTTGGAGGAATAAATACTATTTTAAAGCATCACATTTATGCACACTAATGTGAGATGTATGTGTTTTTCCCCACGTTTTGGCAATGGCTCATATATGGGTAGTAATAAAGCACCTTCAGAGATATCTGATATACATAATAATTCTTGTTTTCTATATTCTAGGGCGCCAGGGTGTAATTTTGGGGCCATTCCGCTTCGGGTTCAGTGGTAGCCCTTTTCTAAAATTGCAGGAATACCCCTTTGATCGATAAATGAATTAATTAACCTTGGCAACCGATCAGAAGAAAGGCCAAACTTACTATGCATGCGTTCAGTGTGCCAACAGATTTCTAGAACAAGAGGAATTACTGTGTTTGTGGGATTTTTTTTTTTCTTTCTTTTTAAAAAGCTAAGAGAAGCTGCCCTCAAAGGCAGACACGCTGTCTATTGGGCCATAGCTTTAGTGAACATGTTGACCCAAACCATGACTGTGCAATGTGCTGTTGCGAACAGAATCAACAACTTTTTTTTGCGCACTCATATAACCTTATGCAATTGCGAACGCCGTAAAACTTTTACTAAAACAAACAATAAGAGAAGTCTGCTGTGTCATCTTTGACCAGGTAGGCACTCCACATGCCTTCTTTAATTTATTTGCTAACTGAGAATCACCACTCATCCAGCGATAAAAGACTACTAGAGCCAGAAATTGGTTCAGAAACTGAATCATGTGCAAGCTTGCTGCATGCAAAAGTCGCTTGATCAGTAGGCAGCAAGTGATTGACTATATATCTAGGTCACAAGAGTCCATTGCTGTTGTTTTTGCTAAACTGCTTTGTTCAGTTGTGAAAGGGTGATGGCACAACAGCACTGATTCTTTAAGACCAAAGCTGTACCACTTTGTATCAGGTAGAGTCAATTTAACTAATTTCTGCACAGCCATGTTCAGAATTAGACCTAAGAAGTAAAATGTGTTTCATCCAGTTTTGATTGGGCTTTTTCCCTGTTTTCCTGATTGAATGGGAACCCTGCTTTCAGTGCCGGAGAGTGTAGCACACGCAGCTCAGTGCCGGAGAGTGTAGCACGTAGCTCAGTGCCGGAGAGTGTAGCACACGTAGCTCAGTGCCGAATCGTGTAGCACGTAGCTCCGTGCCGACTCCACTCTCCAGGCTTGTGGGCCGGATTCAAACACTGCAAAACTTTCTCTACTTTCAACACATCTTTGTCTAAGCCCATTCTGGTTTCAGGACAAGGAACGTAAAACCACGACAGCTATGTCAGATGAATATCTCGCTATACTGAGAAAGTTTTGAAAAAAGTTTAGGGGAGGAGGTGTTATAATGCTGTAGAGGCCTGGTTTCAGTGGGATGGGGCCACACTCTACAATTCA